AGTTTGAATAAGTGCTGTCAGTGCAGCTTTTGTTTGCAGGTATCTCAAAAGACAAAATAGTAACAACACAAAACACAAAGAAACCTCCTCTGAGAACTCTATAAGCAATAAAGCAGTATATGTACTGCCTTGTTTATTTAATAAATTAATGTATTAATTTGTTATTGCTGTGTTGGAGTCCTGTACTGAATTTGACCAAAGGGAGGAGCAAAGACAGTGAGACCAGATGAAGTCTGGGATTTAGTGATCACAACAAAAATAAATAAATCTCAACCCAGTCAGTCGTTTCTTCAGTTAATGCATTGTGTGCCTCTGCTCGCTGTGTTGGCTCGTCCTCAACACAGATAGATTTTGGCCTTTTCTTCAAAGAACCTGACTTGGCCTTTGTAAATCATCTGTGCTGCAGGACTCGAGCTGTTTGCAAACATATCCAAGAAGGGGAATATGATGGACACTGCCAAGGTGCTGTCTAAATTAGAGAATGGCCTACAATATGTCGCATTGCTAAGGCAGGGGGCGGGTAATATGAGTCAAGTACACGATTAACACGGTGAAATGAAATATAGTTAATGCAAATAAAGGGGAAACAAAAAAATCTTATATTTCCATTTGTAAAAAGAGAAACTCACTGTTGTTCAAATCAAATACTACAGAAGACCACAGAAACCAATATAGCCAATCACAGAGTTAGTTCAAATGTACATTGACTATTATTATTTCCTGCTTTTCAGTGAGAGGCCTAATCCTGCAGCACCATTTGTGATGAAACTGTGTTTACATCAGTAATGTGACACTGGAGTACACTAGCAGACACTTTTATAAGTGATGTTTTATTGGAATAAAATTATTTTCTTTGCAGACATCAGCACTGACTCATCTAAAATGCGTTCCTGGTCCTAGACCACTGAGTCTTAATGGATTCTTGTATATAAAAACCAAAGCTCAGATCAATCGTCTGTCGCAGATCTCTGTAAAAGAACACGTCTTACAAATCATCCATTCATTGCAGTGATCTATTAGCAATCTCTTACCAGACGGACCAATACAACACAACTCATCCTCCTAATACTTAGTTGCAGCTCGTTCTGGTAGAAGATGAGTCCCTGCTGCATGTTCAAATGCTTTAACTATTCATCTTCTTCTGTGTTACGACTGTGAATTAAACAGTGTCATTGAAAATGAGGGTTGTATAAGATCCACGCATATATATTATATATTAATTAGTATTTCACATGGGCTTTACATCTTTTTATAAATGTTATGTATTTGTTAGAGAGATGATGGATGTGTATGATTGACAGATGTCAAATGAAAAAGATCATATCACTTTTTAATAAAGAAAGGTGAAAGTAACTCACAGTAATAATATGTCTTAAAATATTAAGCATTGTAATGGTAATTATGTGATAAGAATCAAATTAACAATCCAGCCAGAGTTGGCAGCAGCAGAGGGCCAGATTAAGTGAGAGCGCCTCAGTCTTCTGTGTTTCCTGTCGGTGCTTGCTGACTCACCGTGCTGCAGAATGCTGAGCTGATAGCAGACTAAGAGTGTGACACTGCAGACACTGAGCTCAGGCCCTCGGATATCATCTGTGGAGAAACCTGAACTTTCTGACTGTGAGGACGTCCAACAAAACCACAGGCATTCAGATCAGTTTTATCTGCACTGGGAAATGGTGACGAATTTCTGCTGCGGTAGATGCTTGTTAAAAAGGACGTGGTACATTTCAAATGCCCATGCATGGCTCTCCATTCGTACGTAAATGACCATAAATGAGAGGAAAAAGTTGACATGATCGTAAACACTGCTGATACTAAACAGAGGGAAGACACAAATAATAGTTTATATGTTTTAAAACATCTATGTCCTGAAATACAGGAAGTTAAAATCAGGTTAATTTCATCCGCCTGGGGGCTGAATGTTTATAGTGAATGCCACACAGCTGCAGCGTCCATGGTTCGATTCCAGATGTCTGTGTGCTCATATCTCAATCCTGAATTCTTGATATTCCCTATAAAACACTCACTTCAACACCAATTGAAGAAGGAATTTGTACAGTCAGGTTTGAGACTGCAGTCAAACCTCTTTGGTGTTTGTTTCCCCAACTGTTTCTGTCTTTGTTCAGACATGAATGAGCACAGCTCCCGCAGCCACAGCATCTTCCTGATCAACATCAAGCAGGAGCATGTGGAGACTGAGCAGAAGCTGTGTGGAAAACTCTACCTGGTTGATCTGGCTGGCAGTGAGAAGGTCGGAAACTCTCTGCAACACCTGCAACTCATTCTGACTTCAGAGTTTTTTGTTTTATTACATTTGAATGATCTCCAGCTGTGCATCAGTCTTGTTTGACTTCGCTCTCTCTGTCTTTGTCTTTCCTCCAGGTGAGTAAGACGGGGGCTGCAGGAGCCGTCCTGGATGAGGCTAAAAACATTAACAAGTCTCTGTCTGCTCTGGGAAATGTCATCTCTGCGTTGGCTGAGGGCACGGTGAGTCATTCCCACCAAAACTCCCTCATTCTTTATAGAGAGTAAACGCTGATGCCATGGGTATCTGATAAAGTTATTACATTTAACAAATTATTTTGGTGACTTAATCTGTCTTGAGCCAATATATGAGACATTTTTGGAGCTAATGTTAATTAGTTGATATATTTCCTTTTTTCATTTTAAGTGAAATGTTTTTTTCATTTTACTCGTAACTTTATAACTTTATAACTTGATTTATTTGTAGAATCTGAGAAAAATAAATGCAAGTATCCTTCATTCCTACAAATCGGACCCCATATAACGTGGCAAATCTCCATGTCATTTCTGAGAGTGATGTACAGCAGCTCTGTCACTGTCCATTACACACATGATGATGAGTGAATATAATCTGCTTATCAATCTCGACAGAACCACAAAATCAAGAAGCAAATAAAACACGCCAAAAAGTATTTATTTTTCCAGCTGTGGTTCCAAAATCTTGATTTTTCTCCTCCTCTTCCTCTCTCCTTCTCCCTCTTCCCCTCTCTTCCTCTCTCCTCCTCCCTCTTCCTCTCTCCTCCTCCTCCTCTCTCCAACAGAAATCTCACGTGCCGTATCGTGACAGCAAAATGACTCGCATCCTGCAGGACTCTCTCGGTGGCAACTGTCGCACCACCATGTTCATCTGCTGCTCTCCCTCCAGCTACAACGATACTGAGACCAAGTCGACTCTGATGTTTGGCCAACGGTAGATACCCCTGGAGATAAAGTCGATGTATCTTTGGAAAGAAACCATGCTTTTCAGAAACAAACATTTTACATTTGAAATAAAATCAATAACATAAATTTTTATTTTATAATAATAATCACATTTTTTATCTCAACAGAACTTTTCCTGGTTATAAAATGTGATAATGTAACTCAAGGAAAAATGGAAACCATAAATGTGTCTTATTTTTTTCCACATCTTGCAGTGTTGATTATTATTCCCCTCTAAAGTAGGCCAATGAGCTATTTTGGGCATGACCTAAAATCCAAACACAATAGATGCAGATGCTAAACAACACTAAATAAAATCGATTGCACTTATCATCAGTGGTGGAAAGTAACATTTAAATGTACATTTCAAAGTACATTTACTCAAATACTGTGCTCAAGTACAATAGAGAGGTACTTTAAACCAGTTATTGCATCCACATTGCAGGTATCCATCAGTTGTGAACAGCTCCACCAAAACTTCCTATTGAAGTGGGTTTTGGTGAGATACTCAAAAGATTTGTGTATCAGTGACTCTATGTCTTCGTCACAGTGCCAAGACCATCAGGAACACCGCCTCCATCAACCTGGAGCTGACTGCAGAGCAGTGGAAGAGGAAGTTTGAGAAGGAGAAGGAGAAGAACAAGACCCTGAAGGACACCATCCAGAAGCTGGAGGCCGAGCTCAACCGCTGGAGGAACGGTGAGTCGACATTTTCTGACTGACAGACGTTCATGAGAAGCCTTGTTTCTGCAGCATCACAGCAACTCTGCACATGTTTAAATGTCCTGTACCTTCATCCCTGCCTTCAGGAGAAGACGTGCCTGAGACAGAGCGGACCACTTCAGATGTGGTGATCCGGACTGTGGAGGAGCGCCCAATTTTGGACAACGACACCTCCTCTATTGTGGTCCGTATTTCCGAGGAGGAGCGTCAGAAGTACGAGGAGGAGATCAGGAAGCTGTACAAGCACCTGGATGACAAGGTTCTAATGCACAAACATTGTCATTACATTAGATGGAGACAATACAGACGTTTGAGTCATTATATTTGATAAGATAATCGTTTTATAATCAAGATTATACACCTGATTAAACCCCTGAAACATATTATTCACTGAAATGTCATTATGGAATTAATAATGTTAGACAAGATGATTTTTTCTGTGTCACTGCTGCTCATACACTCATGCAAGTTGTCCGGTGTGGGTGGTACTGATGTTGGTATTTATATCATTAATACAGGATGATGAGATCAATCTGCAGTGCCAGTTGGTGGAGAAACTGAAGCAGCAGATGCTGGACCAGGATGAGGTGGGTACACACAAATACATGCACACACACACACACACACACATTTCAAAGTAAAAGCTTCTCTAGATGTCTCCTTTCCTCCCTCCAGCTACTGGCCTCGTCCCGCGGTGACGGAGACAAGGTCCAGGCTGAGCTTGGCAGGCTGCAGGTGGAGAGTGACTGTGCCAAGGCTGAGGTGAAGGAGGTGCTTCAGGCTCTGGAGGAGCTGGCCATCAACTATGACCAGAAGAGCCAGGAGGTGGAGGAGAAAGGCCTGCAGAACCAGCTGCTGGCTGACCAACTGGCCCAGAAAATGGTACGTTTTAAGAGGTCTGGTGTGTATGTGTGATGAAGTCAGAGGCTGGAGGTGCAACAGAAGGATCCAGTAGCTGACTGCACCATGGAGACCAGCAGCTGCTGTAGCAATGCAGTTTATCATGAGTGAAACAAACTGCAGGAATTATATTGCAATCAGGTACCGGAGAAAACTCTTCAGGGCCTTTTCACTCAGTTTATTTCCTCCACCAAGGAGGTTTAGTCCCAGTATGATTTTCGTTTCCTTCATCATGGAGATTATGTTTTTAGCTCGGTTTGTTAGTTAGTTAGCAGGATTATGCAAAAACACCTGGATGGATTAGTAGAGACATGGTGGAAGAATGCGGTTTGAGTCAGCAAAGAACCCGTTTCATTTTGGTCCAGATCCACATCAGGAGGCTGATCCAGGAAAGAGTTTTGCAAGAGAGAGATTCCGAGATTTCTCTGGAAGAATTCTAAGATCCTGATGAATAAAATCAGACATGTTAAGGGACTGATATTTATGAATGTGTTACTCAGTAGTTTGAGATCTGGATCTAGTTTGTAAGAAAAGACACCGACTCTTTTTCTCTGACAGGCCAGTCTGATGGAGCTGGAGGCAGAGCTGTCTCGTATGCAGGAAGCGAGCAGTCAGCAGAGGAAACGTATCGCTGAAGTCCTCAACGGCCTGATGAGGGACCTCAGTGAGTTCAGCACCATCGTGGGCAACGGCGAGATCAAGCTGGTGAGTGGAATCACAAGACGTTTCAATCAGAGGGACAACTGATACTGATCTGAATTTCTCCTCCGACCTACAGCCGGTGGAGATCAGCGGCGCGATCGAGGAGGAGTTCACGGTGGCTCGCCTCTACATCAGCAAGATCAAGTCGGAGGTGAAGAGCATGGTGAAGCGCTGCCGACAGCTGGAGATCATGCAGCTGGAGTGCCACCGCAAGATGGAGGAGACAGGGAGGGAGCTCTCCTCCTGCCAGCTCCTCATCTCTCAGGTGAGGGACAGAGGGAGAGGGACAGGAAGGGATGGGAAGAGATACAGCATATGGATGTAAAAGACAGAATCAGGCAAAATTTAAAATGTATTTGCAAAGAATCATCATGATCATCATGGCTGGGTTTTAAGCCATCCTTTGTGATTTGATGTGGGTGATTGTGTTTGTACAGCATGAGGCTAAGATCCGCTCTCTGACGGAGTACATGCAGAGTGTGGAGCAGAAGAAGAGGCTGCTGGAGGAGAGCCACGACTCGCTGAGTGAAGAACTGGCCAAGCTGCAAGAACAGGGTAACATGCAAAACAGTTAATGACTTAAGCAAAGGAAAACCTTAATGCTGTACTGTACATAATTAATTATGTGCAAACTAAATGCTTCTTTCTGTTGTTTTTCCAGATAACTCCCTGCTCGAAGGGAAGGATGGAGAGAAGGGCGAGACTGAGGATGGAAATGTGAAGGTGAGAAGCCTCGAAAGGTCATTTCAGAGTGGAGTATATTACTTTAAAATCTGATTTGGGAACAGAAGAAAATCAACTTAAAAAAATGGAAATGTGAACTGGCTTCTTTCAAGCAGCTCATTTACAGAGTTACAGCTCAAATATTTATTGAAAGATCTTGGGCCCCTATTTAGAAATGACAAGTCACCATGACAACTAAAATTCATATCTGATCTATACATCATTGATTTTTATACTCAGCAAATGAACAAAAGGTGAAATATAATATTATACCCTGTGTTACATGTCATCAAAGTGAATGTACATTTTCTAATTATGTATTTCTTTTTAATAAATATACATTTACATTGTCTGTAAATCCTTGCTTGAATATTGACGCATATACTTGGTTCTTCAAATCACATTTTTTGTGTCATGTCCTTCCTCCTATTGTGCACTTTGTGCATGTGCTCTTTTCCTGTGCAGAAGACTGTCCGTCAGCAGGGAGAGTCTCACCGCGGCCTCCATCACAAGCAGCTGACCCGCCTGCGGGATGAGATCAATGAGAAGCAGAGGATCATCGATGAGCTCAATGAGTCCGTGACCATCTTTATTTATGATTCTATCTTTACATAAATATCATTTCTTCTTAACATCCCTTATATACTAGTAACACAATGATTCACAATTTGCTAATAATCATTTCCTCCTCTCCTCCTGAACATGTGTGTGTTCACTATTCCAGTCGTAACTCTAAGATGGAGCTGGAGCTGGCTCAGGTTCGAGCGGACTTTGAGCGTCTGAAGAGTCAGGACAACAGCAAGAGCGAGCGCCTGGAGGAGCTCTCGTAAGTACCTGGGAAATCCTTATTCTCTGTACGGGTTGAAAACAAGCAGATGATGAGAGTCAGTACATGTTGGTGATTGGTGACATATTGATCGACACCTCTATGGAGGATGTTAAATATTAGAGGATTGAGTGGAAACAGTCCAGTCTACCTCAAGGATGGTGAAAGTGAGAGGGGTTCATTACCTCCTACTGGTGAGAGAAAGCAATGGCAAGGCAATACAGTTTTCTAAAATCAATTAAAGAAACTTTAATTTGATTATCTACAGTGACCTTTTGACAGTAGCATAGTATCAGACCTAAAATTAAGCCTTTTTTATTTTATTTAACATTTAATTCAATTTTAGAACATCCTGTATATTTTCGGTGGTACAGTTGACATTAGAAGAAAGCTGATGTGTATTTTCTTATGTTGGTAATAGACCCCAAAGTTAGCTGATTGTTTGTTTTTATAAAACTGGTTTAAAATGTTGCTGGTCTTTCAAATGAATAGGAATAATCATTGCATAGACTTTATTGTAACTTCCCTCAACACTGACCGACCTCCAGCATCCCTGGTCTACCTCCTCATTAAATTCCAGCACAGGAAACTGAAAATTCAAAGCAAAATATTACAATGTTCTGACATATATACAAATATCGTCATGTTTAAAATGAGAGTTTTGTTGTTTCTGTCAGATTCCTGCATGAACGCCATGAGCAGACCAAACAGGACATGAAGGGTCTGGAGGAGACTGTCGTGAGTAAAATATAATTACTTTATCTATCTGCCGGCATCTCCCCTGAAACATTTGTCAAAAGTTGTCTTCTTAACCTTGTCTCAATCCATATGTCCTCCAGGCCCGCGAACTCCAGACCCTCCACAACCTGCGCAAGCTGTTCGTTCAAGACCTCACGTCGCGGGTTAAAAAAGTAAGCAGCTGAATTTTCCTTTTTAGGGTTTTAAGGAATCTTTGACCTTAATTCTGCCCCCTGATCAATCTCAGTAAAAATAGCAACAGCAATCTACATCCCTCTCATCCTTATGACCTTTAGATATGATATATGTGACACAAGAATTTCACTTTAAATATAGAATAGTGGAATGAACAAAGTAAATATCCAGAGTCCTAAAGAGGTCTCATATTTATATATATATATACCATGCAAAATACTAGATGGCATTTGTCCTTGTTTTCTTTTTTGCAATGTTGTGATCCGTCACAGAGCTGTTTCTAGTTTCTAGTTTATATTCCTGTCTTTTTGCTCCGTCGTCTCTTCTGCAGAGTTCCGAAATGGAGCCTGATGATAGCGGGGGGTCTTGCACCCAGAAGCAGAAGATTTCCTTTCTTGAGAATAACCTGGACCAACTTACAAAGGTTCACAAACAGGTAAGAAACACATCCAGAGGATGTAACTTCAACTGTAACTTTCCTTGATGTAAACATGGCTCATGATTTTTATATCATTAGACTGGGAGACTGTTGTTTTCATTCCATGAGACGCAGCAGTTTTGGAGGATGATTTGCTCAATACATTAAACCTATTTTAAGTAGATTTACAGTTTTTGTAAGTGGCTGGAGAAGACACACATATAAGTGAATCAATTCACTTCCATCACACTTCCAACAAATGGTGTATTTCAATAATTCATTCAACCAGCAACGTTAAGTGTTGTACTGCATCATTTTCTCTGCTCTCCTTCGAGTGTCATTCTTTCTCTCTCACTCTGTCTCTCTCTCGTCCAGCTGGTTCGTGACAATGCAGATCTGCGTTGTGAGCTTCCAAAGCTGGAGAAACGTCTTCGGTCTACTGCTGAGAGAGTTAAGGCCCTGGAGACTGCACTGAGGGACGCCAAGGAGGGCGCCATGATGGACCGCCGCCGCCATCAGCAGGAGGTCGACCGCATCAAGGATACCATAAGAGCAAAGAGCGCCCTGCGCCGCTCCCACGCAGCACAGATCGGTACTGCACTTCAGTTCACTGATGATTCTGTTTCTATTAATGATGGGAAATATATTTGAATTTAACAATGACACAGCTTAACCCTATCTAACATCACTTTATCATCCAAGCCAAGCCGGTGAGACCGAAGCAGCTGCCAGTTTGCTCTCCCACAAACCCGTTCTACACCTACGTCCGTGCCACTGAACAGGCCAACACATACAGCAACGCCCTCTTCCAAGGCAGCGCGATACAGTCAAACTCCGCCTCCGCCATCTGCAACCCCAACTCTGTCCAGAGCAACACGTGAGTGGGAACCATTCTACCTCCTCCAGCCAGATGTTGGACATTGTTATATAAAGAAAGAAAACATACTTTATACAGTATTATCTACTTTTGTTATTTCAAATGATTAAGGATATTCATTTGTAACCTCACATACTGTGCTGAAGTTTAACTTTTTCTCTCTTTTCTGCACAGAGTTTCCACAGCACTGGGCTACAGAGCAGGCAGATATAACGGAGACACACTGGAGTCTTTCCCACTCAACATTGACAATGGTAAGAAAAAGAACGCACATACCTGTAACAGTCTAATGCCCATGTATGTATTTGAGAGTAATATTTACATGTGTATTTGTACATGCTTATGTAGATGTGTTTGATGATCAAATTGGTTTTAAGAATGAGATTGTTGATCTTTATATTAAATACATGAGATAATTGTTCTCAGTGAGTGTGTTTTATAATGAATGTAAACTCTTTGATACAATATATCATTGTATCAATTCATTAAAATGAGATTAAAATGAATTAAAGTAACAGTTATTTCTATTACTGAAGTAGTATTAGTGTTGATAGTTTTTATCAATCAATAAATCAAACCACTTTTCTGTTACAGGTAACAACATCAGTGAAACGAGAGACATCAATGACAACAGGTGAGGACGTCAGTAAACAACAACAGCTTCTTGTTTCTAGTCACTTGAACTAACTGTTTAAAACAGGTTATAAAATAAACTCTACTCTAGATTAAACAGTGCTTTTACTCCTAAATAATTATTTATTCTTTTTTGTTGGAGCCTTTGAACAGATGTGAAGTGAGATGTGGTTTTGTTGTAATCAAGTGATCAAGTTCTCCATGGGGCTGATATTAAATGCATCGTCCAGGAGTTATTTGCAGTAAATTATAATGGAAGAGTTGGTTGTTCACTAAGTGTGATGTTTGTTTGTCCTTTCCAGGAGTGATGTTCACTGTGGCAGCGAGGTGGATGATTCAAACAGGCACTACGTCATTCAGCAGGAGACGGCTGCAAGTTAATCCCAGGGTAACTAAACACATACACACACACACACACACACACACAAAGCAGGCTTTGGTTGGCTGCAGGTAAACAGTCTGTGTGTAGACAAAAGAGGCGGGGCACATCAAAATGCATCAGCTTGTTAAATGTATCTGCAGATAGCTGATAAAAGAGATCATCCAAAATGTCCTTTCGACATTTACAAAAAGTATCGCTGTTTGTATTTCGTGTGGAGAAATAATGTCTGATAAAAGAAACTAGAAGGACTGTAAATATTGTTCTGAGAATCTTAGCCCAGATATCTGTGAAGCCCTAAAATATTGGCCGTTGCCCCCAGAGGCTCATCAGCCGATAGCCCATGGTCCCCGAGATTGCTTTATCACAACTTCATGAATTGATGAGAAAAAAAATTTGAACTGAAATGAAAGCATAAAATAACCCCACCCCCCACCACCCTCAAAACCTTGTTTCTGCTGACCCCCAGCGATTGAACTTCTTGTTCTGCTGCAGTGATGTCCAGGTGTACTCCAGGACCCTGTGACATCACTGCTGGCTGCATAACAATTGTGACAAAGTACGTTTCTATCAGCAGCAAACTATACTCATCATTCGTGTGTGGGTGAGGTCAGTGGTGAAACGTTCAACTAGTGCAAGCAGCCAAACTCAGCTTTTCACTCTTGGGGGGGTTACACTCTCATCAGTTTTATTAAAATAACAGTTACGACATGATTAATATGATGTGTCCAAATCTATTTTTCCGAATGATGACCACCTCTTATTCTCTCTCTCCAGATGACGACCAAACACTGTATCCACCCATGGACCCTCCCCTCCCATCTGCATGCAGCCTGTCTCCCTATCCCTCCACTGCATCACTGATGAAGACGAAGATGAAGATCTGTAGCCATGTATTCTAATTACTAGATGAAGCCCCCCCCCCCCCCGCTCTTATGGTGACCACCCTCATCCTCAGGTTTGGGATCAAGTCCACTCCAGTTCAGTCAGTGCAAGAAACACATGAAATCAAATGTTTTTATAGTTCCAGAATAACCACCACGAATTTGACCACAATTTGTCAGAAGTTGTCTGTGATGCTGATCAACCTCCTGAGGTGTTGGAACTGAGGTGGGGCTGACTCCATCCCTGAACACTTGGTACACACGTTGTAAATAATAGTGCTGTATACTCCAGTAGAGGTTTTCGACCAGCAACTGTTTGTGTGAGCGCACAGCCTCCACCGTCCCCTGCACACGTCTTCTTTAGGGCATCATGTGGACGACATACAGTAGGCACACATGACCTTTTCCTCAGTCATAAATAAGAGTATAGTGTGTAGTGCCAGCTTGTAACTGAAGACCCACACTCTTCATGCATGTTAGCGGGGTTAGCTTTCAAATTGTTGCATGTCATGATTCCACTCAGGAGCTGGAATGCTGCGTGTGAAGCGTCTGATCGACTTCGACAGATGCCAAACAAGGAGAGAGAGATGGTTTCCCTTAATCCCGATCCTGGTGTCAGTGCTTTAAATTTTCTATTTTAAAATGAAATCCACTTCATGCAGGGTTGTTGTGGGTGTATCACAGGAAATATAAAAAAAACCCACATCTGGGTTTACTTTTTATCTTAGAGAGAGACATCAGATGCAAAAATATGAGGGAAACCTGGCCCAGATTTAATGTGCATAGAGGAAAACTTTTGTAATTGCTTTCATACTGTGATGTCACAGCTGTATCATGCTATTGTACACGCCAGGTAATGCTGCCCACATGCATTTAATGTTGCTCCCTGTGCTGCATCCCCACCTTGTGATCTTCTTACCGAGCCTTAACAGGAGCTGGTTTCTCATGATCAATTTAACATGTGTTCATGTGCATTCATTTGTAATTGCTACCTCTGAAGCTACTTATTACATGCACTATACTAAGATATCATCCTTTCAAAGCAGAGGTCTTTCAGACAAGTGGCAACTTTGGTACAAAAGCTCTATGTAGATATAAATGTTCTTTTTAAAGCAGTAAAAAGGTCTCGTATGCAGAGATTCCTTCATTACAAAGCAAGATCAGAGCTGGGTAGGCACATTGACATAAACCCTTTACTGCAGGAGAGTCACCGGACGTCTGGGTTCATTCATCAGGGCAGGTCATATAATGTCAAGTTCAGTGTTAAAGGAGAAATATACAACATCGGTTTTCCTATTTCCCTAAACTTTAAACTTTTGAGGCTGAAAGGACGGAATCTGAAGCTACACTATTGACGTGCTTCTGAATTTTGGTTTAGGAACATCTCAGAACCTGTTTGTGGAGGCTTTTTAGCGATTCTGTGTGTTTTTAATCAGATCCATTAGACCGATGATGAGAAAGTGTCTGTAAACTCGTCCCCAGCTGAGCAGCCACCAGTCTGACGTGGACGGAGAGTTTGACAGATTGTTTGTTGTCAGATCGTGCTGTAATTCTTCTGTTTGAAATCCTGACCAGCCAATCAGGATAGAAGAAAGCAGCGCGTTGTAGGTGGTGGGCGTGTTTGGACTGAGCAGAATAAAAGGTCGATTTAGAGCAGACGTGGTGTTCCTAAATTAAAACAGCCTCTTTGTTGGACCAAATTTAAATATATTGTGAAGCTGAATGTGCCTTCTGCAATTATAAAGAGCAAAAATATGTGTAAATGAGAGAGATGTAATTTGTCTTTCCATTAACAGCGTGTATTTACACTTTGACCACGCTCATCGTCTCTGATCCAATTATCCTGAGTTAGATTCAGCCTCTTTTACTATTTGAACATCACAAACTTTAGTTTTATTTTCAGAACTATTTTTGAATGGAGACTTCAGTGTGTTACATTGAATGACTTGGTTGTTTCTAATTTCACCCAGGTATGAACTCAGAATGCTCCTCCTCCATCTCATGTTCTTACTGACATCAACAACATCTCAGGGCTTCACATCCACAATCACAGTGACCACGAGACACCGCCAATGTTTTCCTCGTCAGATTTAAAGCTACGTGATCTCAGATGAACAATCAGCTCAGTGTGTGTTCTTAAACAACAGAACAGGATGATGACTCTTATAGAAATATTATCATTTCAGACAAACACTACGTAACATCTCCATTCTGGCTCATGACACCCTAAATGAAACAATCCCTCAGCAGCACCCTGGTCAGACCCTACTGTGCGTGTCCAAGCAGACCCTCTATTTGACATCATGTTTTAAGTGTAATAAATAATTTAAATGGAGGGAGAATGTGTACTATATTGTCACCTGCTGTCCCACTGTCTGATTTCAACATATCTAAAAATGTATGTGCTATATATTGTTAATCTTGTAAGTAAAGTAGCGTGCCATGACATAGTGAAACGCAAAGGAAAGGTACGCGCTAACTTGTTCAGAGAAATGTTTGTTTTATTTATTTCTGTATGCCAATACTGTAGCGTCGACATGAATCACCGTGCAAAATCTCTGTATATATAGACTCATCACTATGCTGTACTGTCTGTGAACCATTGTGTTGTAGTAAAAAGTTCAATAAACTTGTAGAAAGGAGATTGTGGATGGGAATCATTTGGGTCCAAAGAGAATAGTCTGAATATGGATGTTTGAGAAAAAGAGAAAACTCGCTTTCAGTCCAAATTGGCTTCATCTAGTGGATGTGAAAGGACATTACAACACTGCTGCAGATTCAATTGAATGAAAAATCACTTTATTGGTTCATTGTTCCTCCACTTTCAGCTAATCTTCTCTTAGGAGGAGCAGCTGCATTTAAATCAAATGATAATGGGGTTTTATAGTTGCAAAATTCCAACAGTGGAAGAGTTTTATTTTATAAAAGAGATATACACCTCACTTTATCATTTCTATGGTCCAGTGTAGTCCTGCTGTTGGTTTCCCAAATGTATTTTATATCTGCCAAGTCAGTTTGTTTGTTTGTTTTTAGCAGGACAACACAAAATCCATTGAATGGATCGCCACAAAACTTGGAGGAAGGATGAGACATCAGCCATCAAAGAATCCTTAAAATGTTGGTGTGGATCCAGACAAGATAAGGTGAAATTTGATATTTTCACCAGTGAATCATTCATGAATGATGATTATTAAAATATCAGACATATTTAGGGGATTGATATTTATGAGTGTGATATCTGATGTTTCTTTTTTGAATTTGAGAGGACTGCTGGGCAGAGTTATGTGCTCTGCTGGGAGCTGCAACTGTGAAATATGAATATATTAATCATTTTTGTCATCATATATAAGAACGAGATGTCTGATGTGGATATGTGGGCGTACGTAAGAATCTGAGATCCCAGCAGATCCAAATTTTAATGTTTCATCTTGGTGTTAAAAACCCTAGAAGTCTGTGAATGTAACTCATTCATTCCTCTTCTGTTTTGATGATAATCACTCTCTGTATGAGCACCGTCATCAGCCACGTTTCTTCTGCGGAAGTGATGAGAACCCCAAAGGACCTTCCTTTGCTCCCTCCATAATAAGCCACTCTACATTGTTCCCACGAGAAAGGAAGCAGTGATGTAAACAGCAGAGGCACGTGAGGCATCTTCATACTGGAATCTGCTGCATGCTCTTACAATAACACACATTCAGCTGATGAGAGATGATCAGAAATGTTCATATCTACAGTGTTGGATCATTATCTGGAAACAATTTTGCTCTTGAACAGGAGTTAGAGAAGAAAAGAAATACACTTCAGTTATTTCCTCAGACTTATTGTGCAGCTTTATCTGGAGAAGTAGACCATCATAGTACTAATCCTTTTGACCATAATTAACTTATCTTTAAATTAATTCATGTGAAAGCTGTAACACAAGGAATCAGCCTAAACTGATGTGTTTTAACTGAGTAAGTGATGTTGACACTGTGTTTCCCACCTCAAACATTATAGAGTATTCACATTCATCATAAATAGTTGTTACTCAATGAATTTTTTTATAATGTAATGTTAATACTGCAGTTTCATGTTTTTATTTACCCTTTTATTTACTCTTACACATCAAGATGGCGCCACGAACGGTCGCCTCGGTGTGTTGGTGCGCACTTTTGTGTTTGTTTTTAGTATTTAATTCTGTTTACTGCGACCCTACTCGGATTACTTTCACGATGGACGAGCTTCTTTCCATCAGGGACACAACACCATCCGATTTATGTCCCAACTTTATCGCCTCTTCCTTGGATTTAGTGGACTTACTCATCAAAGGTGCGGTGGTCCTCGGACACGCAGTGAGACTCCG